ACTCGCAAACACGTGTCCTTTCCTCGTTGTAAGGGAAGGGGCGCGTTGGCGAGGGAGATACGGGAGGCTGGCGCCCGATCGAGGTACGCCCGTCAGTCCACATGTCAATCAATCGGCATGAGTTTGCAGAAACCCTGGGACGTCATCAAAAAGCACAATCGCAAAAACCAACGAACATTTTCCTTCCTTTCGACATGAGGGAAGCATCTTACAGAGTCCGTACAATCAGGCAATAACCAGGGTGGAGTTTCTAGGGGATTCACCCACGACTCAGGTTCAGCAGACCAGATCGACAAAAATCCGAGGCGCCTGACTTTTTCGAGGCTGCCCCATAGACTGTCTGAAGATGTCGTGCAGTATAAGGCAGATGGCATGCGCAGTGTATTCAAAACGACAGATCTAAACACTTTTGCATTCTCGAACAAAATCCCGTCGAGTTTTGGGCCTAATCAACACAAAAAAATCACATACAAGCATTCCTACGCATACATCCACTGTGGAAGGTGCGAAAATGACAATCATGGTGCATCAAAAACAAATCGGGGGATAGTACATATGCATCCACCGTTCTCAAGACAAGAGGATTGAGCTCCCTTACATCCGGGGATTACCCAGGAAACTAATGGAAGAGTTCCGAAAGAAGTTCTTTTGTGCGGGGAAATTACGAGGATTCACTTTTGTTCACAAGCGAGACAGACTCATAACACATCGTCATTCAAATAAAAGAGAGAGAGAGAGAGATAGGAGAGATAGATGAGAAATGTCGAGACAGGAGACACCGGATTCCGATAAGGGAATATTCGACTTCACAACCATGAACTCACAAAAAAAAAAAATGATCCGCAACCATGAAGGCGCATTCGCCGTGAAATTCCAGTATGGCCCCGGGCCAATCATCCACTCAACTCCAATTACCGATCCTCATACCCGCACCGACGATCCCGGCTGTCGCGTGCTAACTTCCGCTGCTGCGATCATCACCCCACTGACGCAAACTCGACTCGGCTCGCCCGAATCCCACAGTCCGTCATGGCGATCAAGCACGCAACCGGCCAACGTACAGTCAGCCCGACAGGACTTTTCGACTCGCACCAAACGCATCACCTAGCCACTGCTTCCCGGAAGCTGGCTTGCGAGTTGAAAACGTAAGAGAGGTTTGCGGGTGCGCTTGCGGAATTTATAGTTGCGAAAAGGAAGACAGACGGGGGAGAAGACAGAGGAGAAATCAATGTGTAAGAGGAGAAGATTCTGCGAGGGGTGCTCAAGGGAAGCCATGTGAACTCAATGTTCAACCAATCAGATTCGTCGCGCAACAGGAAGATCCTCTTGCTCAACACGTCTGATTGGTGAGCGAGGATAATCGGAGGATCAACCGGGTTTCGTGAGCCTAGGTTGAAGAGCGAGAAGGAAAGAGGCGTGAAAAGCAGCGCGAGACGGGTCCAAGATTCAGATGATCAAGAAGGGAAAACAGGCGTGCAAGGAGTAGAGAGAGGGAAAAACAGTTGCGATAGGGGAAGAAGAGGAGGGAGAAGGGAGAGAAAAGAGAGTGCAGGGGAAGAATGACGCGGGAAATAAGGAGGAGAAAGCTCGCATGCATGGTGCCGACAACAGGAGAAAAAGGCACCAAAACAGCTACAGCTTACCTATCCCCTAAACCAATTCAAGAATTGAAATCACCATATCCGCGCGCGAAAGTCGACGCGGGAAAAGAAAGTCTTATGCCTATCCGTATTCTCACAAAATTCCTAGAGTTTTCTCCGACGTGACCGAGAACATTCATGCCAAGAAAAAGACACGTCGGGTTCTGCTTATTTCGGAATTCCTAAATGTCGAGCCCGATTCCCAGTGCGCTCGCTAAGGCGCGCGTAATGTCCTATGCATTTCTCGAATTACAAAAAGCAGAAATTCCAAGAATCAATGGAACCTCCGAAAAATGAGGGCTTAAACAAGGCACCTGAAATGAAGAAAAGCGACGGGGGCTTTGTTGGATCGGTATAATACAAAAGGGGGAATCGAGTCAAGGGGTACGAAAGATAGCACGGGGTCGGGAAGTGGTTCGTCACATATGTGACGCGCAGGGGTTCCAAAACTATGCGATCTTCTGATTGCATGAAAAACCTTGAACAAAGGAAGTGGGAGGAGACGAAGAAGCAGGAAGAAGTAGGAGGCTTAGATTAGCACAATGTCAGCAGAGAAAATTGAGTTGGGGCATGAGTTGACGACAACATCCATGGCAACATCTTTGTGATGCATGTCGGCTCATGCTGTCTCGGATCCCCATCCTCTGCGGTCCTGTCATATGCAACCCCCTGCCCTTCAAACCTCGGAGATCGTCCAGGTGGCGCCATCATGGTCCATCAGGTCTCCGTGTGCTCTGCACTCCCAGTCCAGCGCAATCTGTCAAATCAGAGCATGAGTTGACGTCATCGTCAATGGCGTGATCTTCACAAAACTGCTGATTCATGTTACTCGAGGGACACGTGTCGATTTCTCCAGTCAGTCGCCACGCTTAGAACGGTCATTGATAAGAAGAGGGTGGGATGCGCCACCGTCGTGACACGTGGCGGATATCAGCGCCGCGTGGGAATGGGAAAGTTGACATTATACATGGAGGGGTGTCGGTGGGGAGGGTTGGGTGGAAGTGGGGGTAAGTAGCAGTTCATTCATTCCTCTGTGATTGGAAGCTCCTCATAGCGGATGATCCGGTGAAAGCGGGGAAATCGGTTGCCACTGTGAGGGAGGGAGGCGAGGTAGTCAGGGTAGAGGGTGAAGGAAGTGCGGAAGAGCGCCGCGCGAAACAGCTCGTGATGGCGAGATGCGGGGATGGTTCCTGTGATTACGCAGTAGACTTCTATTGCGTTGCTCTGCTCCCACGCGACACTAAACAGAAGGACGTGCAAACAGAATGTGAGGGTTGCACATTGAAGGGAAGGATGGGGATGGATGGTGATGGCGAGGCGGGTGGAGTAAAAGTGACGGAAGGTATTGGAGGGGAAGGGGTTGCCAGTGAAGGTGACGGGGGTAGAGATCTGACAGAAGGTGAGGTAATCAAGGGGACAGCGGGATAATGACCGGGGACGAAGGCCGATCGCCCGCATCGGTACGTGGACGAACAGAGGGACGGGCTGAGGTGGAGGGGGAGGGGGATCGGCTTCGTCTCCGTCGCGATGCGCTCGGAGCCGCGGTTGCTGGGTCGCCATCTTCGGGCTTGGGGGGCTCTAGATCCCGGGTCGGATCGTCGTTGATGCACAGGTTCGCCTCGCTGGCGAACTCCAGTTGGCTTTTTCCGGCGGCGATCTCTTCCCTCTTACGTGCCGCCTCGGGATCTTCCGCCTTTGTGCCTGTGCTCGCCACTTCTTCCGGCAAGGCTTCCCACTCCAATCCGGCTTCCTCCTCTTCTTCTTCTTCGTCGTCTTCTTCCTCTTCTACACTCTGCTCCCCTTCGCTGTGCTCACTATAACTCCCTTCCTCCGACGTTTCGTCTTCGGCGTCGTCCTCTTCTTCGGTGGCTTCTTCTTCTCCTGCCTCCTCTTGCTTCGGATAGAAGGCGAGATTGATGATTCCGGACGGCTTCAAGTACTCTTGCCGCGATGGCAGGGTGCTTTCACTCCCCGGTTCCTCCAAGCATGCAGTCCACTGAAGATACAGTGCCAATGTCCGCGTAAGGACGTGCGGAGCCGGTCTCTCGTCACTTTGCGAAACAATATCGAGAGAGAGGTAGTCGACCAGTTGCGCGAGCGGGATGACGAGTTCTTGGGCAATTAGCTGACGATGGCCTGGTCGCACCGATCCGAAAAGAAAACCGAGAAGATCGCCCTCTACATCCGTTCTCCAAACCTGGACAATCAGCAGCTCCAGGTACTCAATACACGGCTGATGCTCGTCGATCCTCGTCCATGTCACCTCCACTCGGGCCGAGCACACAGATAGATCGACAAAAGTCTCGCGCCACACCCGCCAATGTCTGGGAGCAAGGAGCGGGACTGCAAGGGGCTCGAGCAAGAAGGAAAGGCGAGGATGAAGATCGGATTGCTAAAAGGTGGGGAAAAGAGAGGGAAGACCAAAGGTGGAGAGAGGAGCGAGAGGAGCAGCGCGGTTCATTGGGGGCGTTGAAAGGGGACGAGAGTGGGGAGCACCACTGCCGGCTGGCGCGTAGAGGTGCGGATCTCATCGAAGTCAGTTCCATACGTTGAGACGAGGTTGCCCCCGAGGCGCGCAAGGCCTTGATGCCACTCAGTCGACAACTGCTGCGTCCACTCTCGTAATGAGGTCAGGATTGTGGTATGCCGAAGCGGGCTGACCGCGCTGATATCGCCGCTGAAGGCAGCGACCGTGGTGACGTGGCTCGTTCCTGGAGCCGCCCGCCGATGAAAGGCGACCACCTCTGCCAATACTACCGCCTGCGGACTTCCTGCAAATCGAAACGCAGCGGCGGCACACACACCCTCGGTGCAGAAGAACTACGCCAGTCATCGAAGATGAGGACTGAGCCGTGGATGACTAACTTGCCGGATCTCCGAGATGTAGCCACGTGGCTGCAGCAGATGATTGCCAAGAGCTTGCTCCATGGTGAAACTCATGGCGAGGACGGGGAAGAAGATGAGAGATGGGAACAAGAGGGAGAGAATGAGGCAGGAGCTAGATCGTCGTCGTCCTTGTCTTCAGCAGATGAGGGAGACGAAGGGAGATCAGAAGGAGGGAGGGGACGAATGTAAGAGGTATGGCGGACAATGGGGACAGAGTTATGGCTTGCGCTGGCCTCGAGCGCAATGCGCACCGTGTTGGCACCGTTGGGTCCGAGCTCGACAACACGGAAACGGCCAAAGAACTTGGGAGCAAGTTTTTGGTCGCGTGCACATTTACGTACCTGCACCAAGTCCCCTAATTTATATTGATGTTGGGGACCGACGTTTCCATTTCGGGCCTCGTAGCTACGGACTTGCCTCTCGTGGGCTAGATCAGTCATTTTCTGTCTCTTTCGGGCTAGCTTCGGGACGACCCTTTCCATCAAGTCGGCATACCTTTTGGCCTTGGCCTTAAGGGCGGCACGCGTGTCTCTACCCCCGGCTTCGGCAATTTCCGAGTTGCCCCGGTAATCGACACATGGGAGGCTATGTGTGCGAAGCTGAAAGAGGGTAAACCTCGTAGATTCGTGAGGGGTGGCCCGGTGGATTCCGACGATTTGGTATACGATCTCGGGCCACGAACGCGTATCATGCGCCGCTAGATTTCTACGAAGGGCAGTCTTAATCATGCGATTGGCATTTTCGGCCAACCCATTCGACTGGGAAACGTGGGGGGCCGTATGTCGAAGCGTAATGCCTCGGCGTGCTAGCAATTCCTCTACCTCGTCTTTGAATTCAGACCCGTTGTCAGTTAGAATCTCTTCCGTATCTAGGTGGGTATAGAGGAACCGATCGATGTACGTGGCTATCTCTGTGGACTTACGGGTCTTGTAGGGGTAGACCTCGATGTATTTGGAAAAATGGTCTATTAAAACTAAAAGGATGGAATATTCGCAACGGTTTGGGTCAAGTGGCACGTCGATATCTGCCGTGTCCATACTGACTCGCTGGAAAGGGCGCTCTACTTCCGTCGGTACTATCGTGTTTGGTCCCCGTATTGGGGCACGATCGGCGGCACAGACCAAACAGTTGGCGACTACGTATCTGACATCGTCCCGTATATAAGACCAGAACCATCGATTCTGATCTATAGTTGCTTTAGTGACATGTATCGTGAAGTGAGCGGCCTGCTCTTCATGAGCAGATCGGGTCTAATCATATCTCTGGAATGAATGAGGAACCGTCAACCACAAACCTGATCCGTCAGTTTTACGCTTTTCCAGGTCACCATTGATCCATCGGTAATCCCGGGATCTCTCGGTAGCCCGACGTTTGTCGTGCTTAGTGAGATGATCCAATGGTAAACCAGCCAATTTAGCTAATAGAATTTTATTCGTCCAGACTTCCGCTTGTCGGTATTTTTCGTCATATTTGGGGCCGTCCCTTCAGGCAGCCTCGAATCGAATCTCGGTAGGGAGTTTGTCCGTTCTACACAGAGGGCACTTCCATTCCCTACTATTCGTTCGGTATCGAACGCATGCACCATGTGCACGATTGACACACGTGGCACAGTCCACCCAATCAACGAATCCGGTCTCAAAAGGATGGCAGTCCACCCCATAAACCTGTGTAATACACGTACAAAAATAGCAGAATTTATCGGGAAGGGTGGCGAAGAAGGCCGAGGAGGCGAGAGGGGGGGAATCAGCAGGGGAAGAAGGGGTCGCAGAGACAGGTGGGGTAGCCATGATGAGAGGGGAGGGGAGAGAGAGAGAGAGAGCAGGGCTGCAGAGAGGGTAGAGCAAAAGCCCCGTGTCACTCACTCCTTCAACAAAATTTCCACTTGCCCGTACCGCGGTCCATTCTCATCCTTTGGCTCGTTCCACGGAATCACCTCCTCGCTCTTGAGCACCTTTTCGGGTCAGTGCAGTCGTGTAAACCCGTCAGCATTCTCGTGCCTCTCGTGCTTCCGATGACGAATGTCAAAGTCCATGCGCTGTAGCACTGTTGCCCATCTCCTGATCATGCCCGAGTAATCCTTAGATTTCTTCATGGCTCATGATCGGTGACCAGCATGAACTTCCGCCCATAAAGATAGGCTCGAAAGTGACTAATCCCCCACAGAGCCGCATAGCATTCTCCTGTCGGGGCGGCGTTATTGCACTTGCAGGCAGGCACCGACTTAGACGAGTATTCCACCTCGCATTCGAGTCCGCCTGGTCCCACCTGGGCCAAGATCGCTGAGATTGCCTCTGATTGCCAGTCCGTGATGAGGACAAAAGGCTTTTCAGGATCCGGCCTTATAAGGACTGGAGCCGACATAAGGGTTGCCTTGAGTTTCGAAAACGCTTGATCACAGTCTGGCGTCCAAATCAACGGTTGATCCTTTTTCAAGAGATTCGTGAGGGGACCCGCAATAGCCGCGAACCCCTTGATAAACCTTCGGTAGTATGAGGCCAGGCCCAAAAAGGCGAGACCTTGCGTGATAGTCGTGGGCACAGGCGCGTCTCTCACGGCTGCCACCTTTTGCGGTTCCGGTCTGAGTCCCTGGTCTGTCACCACGTGTCCTAGGAAGGAAATGGTGGTGAGAAACATTTGGCATTTCTTCAGCGTCACCTTGAAACCGACATCCCTCAATGCATGCAGCGTTCATTTGATGTGCTGCACATGCCTCTCGTAAGAACTCGAATACATTAGAATATCATCCATGTATACAATCACGCAATAGTTGATGATACTCTGCGCTTGACGTGTCTTCCGCACAAAGTTTTGGAAAGCCATGTTCATGGTTCGCTGAAAGGTTGCAGGAGCATTGCAGATGCCCATTGGACATCGAATCCATTGTTAAGTACCTTCGAACAACACAAACGCCGTTTTCGGACGATCCTGCCCTCGAACAAGAAGATGATGAAACCCATGTCGAACATTAAACCTACTAAAAAATCGAGCACTCCCAATCGCATCCAACAGCTCATCAATCCGGGGAAAGGGGTAGACATCTTTGATCGTGATATCGTTTAGCTTCCAATAATCGATGCATATGTGAATCCCTCCGGCCTTCTTGGGCACGATTACGACAGGAAACGACCAAGGTCCTATAGCGGGTTCGATCCATCCATTAGCTTCAAACTCCTTAATTCGTTGAAACGCGGTCGCCCGTTGGGTTGGCGAGTATCGGTAAGGAACGCAGCTAATGGGCGGATGATCCCCCGTAAGGATGACATGCTCAATCACGTTAGACAACAACAGAAAAAATTCCCAGAATTAAATAATCATTCTAGAGTAAAATTACATTCTAAATTTCAAATTTACATTCCATTTTAAAAAATGTCATTTTAATTTTAAAAATTTTCATCTTACTTGAAAACTTTCCTTCCAAGAATGGGGTATCCCTTCTTATTTGAAATGCATGCTAGAGATGGAATGAAAGTCTGGATGAGTTCATGAAATATTTTAATTGGACTATCATTCTAAGTAAGAATTTTCAATCATAAATAAGTTAATCCAATCTCAACTAGAAGATATTTGTTGTAGTAGAATGAAAGTCTGATTAAAATATTTCATAAACTCGTCCAGACTTCCATTCCATCTTGAACAAATAGATGTAGTTGGAAGGGAAAACTCATATTTTGACGGGAACTTTTCAAATTAAATTGAAAATTTTAGAATTGGACGAACATTGGAATGATAATTTATATATATGGAGTTTTTTTTTATAAAATGTTTTTCAACTTTCCTTTCTCGTGGGAATTTTTCTGTTGAACCCGATATCGTTATCGTGCACACTTAATACCTCTACGTACCCATTCAAGACGTTAATCAGTGATTTTCGAAATTCCAAGGGGACGTGATCCGGCAGAGTGACAGTCGGTCGATCAGGTATCTCAAGGGGCATGTCGATCCAATCAGTAGGCCGATTCCGTTAGTCATGGACGCTAGAAAAAAGTAGAGCTGCTAGTGCGGACAGAAAATACAGTCGCGATCATCTGGGATTCAGCGGGACTAATCATCTCGGTCTCTTTAACTTCGGCGTCAATTTCCGAATCAGTCGTGGTTTCTTCCATGGTTAGTCCTGTTAAATCCACCATTTCCTGCATCACATCGGGCACATCGTCGACGGGAGTTTCGGCTTCTTGTTTTATCAGAGGGATGGTCGCTCCTGTTGTAAGCAGCGACCTTGGAGGGGAAACAAAAACATCCAGGTATTGTTTCACCTGTTGATAGCGTGCTCGGAGGAAAAATGTTCCCTCGTACAAAGTGCGAGGTGCGAGGGGGTTCCAAATTGTCTGCCAGGTCAGATATTTGCAAGATGGGTTCTCCGAGAAAGGTCGAGGGACTGACCTGGGTTTCCATAGACGCGAGCGTGTTGTCTCCCAGACTCAAGTGGAAAGTTCGTGTGGTTCTGGGAACCATCCGAAATTCCTCTGGAGTTTTGAGCTCGAAAAGTTCAACCAAGTATTTCCATTCACTCTCACTAGGCATCTCTATTTCGCACTTCCGTTCTTCGAATCCGCAACTATTATCCAGGGATGAAAATTCATCGTGATCGGGACCTTGAATCATCCCTATCCGAGCAGAATTAGGATTCCTTTTTACTGTTCGGGTTGAAATCCGCAACGGAACTGTCTGAGGCTTTCCTCCTGTTTGCGTAAGCACCAACTGCTTGGAATCGAAATGCATGCGAGCACCTACCGCCATTACCCAAGGCAGTCCCAACAACACCGAATATGATTATATGAGTGCACATCTATGACCAATGCGTTAATGAGGACGTGTACTCGTCCAACTTTTACGGCCACATTCTCAACGACTCCTACGATATTCATTGCTTCCTCGTCAGTAGAGACGTAATTGTCCTTGCCAGATTGAGGGAGAATCGAGTTGAGTTGTTCCGTTCTTTTCACCGTATCTAATGATATAGTGACCGCAGAGGATCCAGTATCGATGAGGGTGTTGAAAGGTTTGCCCCATACTTGGCAATCACATTCAGCACTTTTCACAACACTGGTCGAGCTCGCACGAAAGTTGATGATCTTTCTCAGCTAAAGAAATTGTAGCTACTCGCGCTGCTTCATGTTCACCAACTTCGGATTCAGGCAATGCAACACCCTTCTTTCCTTCTTCCTTCTTCTTTTTCAGCATTCGTTGTATACGCTGGTATGTAAAGCGCTTTTGATTCTTCTGACATTGTTGCAGCAGCTTGTCATTTGCTGCTTCGGATATGGTGAGCAAATGTGCCACTGGGACCGGAACGCGAATGTCCAGTTGCTTAAGCGTTCGTAGCACATCAATTTCTCCCATCCGAAACTGTGATCCGGGGTTAGATTCACATTCGACCCATTCAAGATCGTCATGGGCTGGTCGGATTGCTCCGATCATGCCGGCGAGATGAAGGTATTCGACCGGATCAACCACGTCAGCAGCTTCGGAAGAAGAAGTTCCTGAGGTCAATGCAACTGCTATTGAGGGGGAAGGTCGCTCAAGGGCGTAAGCAATGATCTGCTCGTTTCGGGTCGTATCCATTAGTGCGGCCACTCGTCCTTTATTCAGAGCTACGAGGGTTGCGGCAGGTGGGGGCTGATTTCGTTTTGGCTGCGGACAGTCCCGGGCAAAATGCCGAGGTTGTTTGCAATTGTAACACTCGATTTTCCCTGCCGGGTTAGCTGCAGGAAGGAACTGCGGTGCATGTCCAGGTGCAGGCGAAGCAGGCAAAAGCGGGAACGATGCATGGGCAGGTCGAGCAAGAGCCGGGTTGGGCTTAATTAGCCTGGTCATTATCTGTTCCATTCGATCTATGTGAGCCGCCTGCATTTGGACTAGATTGCTCATCCATTCAGATTGTTTGGTAGTAGCTGTATGGATCATCTGTGCCAAGTGCATGTTTGTTATGGTCATAGAGGCAGGATCTTGGGAGCTTCTGGGTTTAACCGTTGCTACCTGTTGGTTTATTGAGAGAGTCGGAGGAGGGGGAGAAGGAACTGACAGGATATCAGAGGCGGCCCTTTCGAGAAGGTCATGATCAGGTCGGGGATAGAATCGTTCTACCGCTCTTAACCACGATGATCGTCGTTTCGTCGCTACATCCTGAATCGTGTTCGTAACGTCTTTGTCTCCGTGACTTATATACTTCTTTGTATCCGTCAGGTCTAACTCAAGTGCTTTGGTGATGATATCGGATAGCTGGTTCGTTTTAGGGGGGACCTTTTTCTGCAACTTACCTTTTAGCATCGGACTTGGTAGATCATCGATGAACAAATCTCGGACGGACTTTTAATCTCGTCGTGATTTGTCCAACGTAGTTTGAAATCGATCCACAAAGTCAGGCAGCAACTCCTTTGGTTCTTGCGGTCGAGTCTTGAGCACATACCAAGCGGCGTCTTCGTTGACCGTATCAAATCTGGCCAATAACGCTTGCTTGAAGGTGTCTCAATCTACTCATTTGTGTTTTCCTAAGCCAATCATGCGCCGTGTTGCAAAGCAGCAAGGTGATGACGCGGGGGAGATCTTCCGCGCTATATCCTTGAGCTTGGACGGCTTCCAACCAAGCTTCATGGTGGGTGTGATTAGGAAAGAAAGGAAAAGCGGCGGGAATACTAACAAATTGAATCACCCTGGGGGGAGCTGTGTTGCCGTCGGCCATTGGCATAGCCGGTCTAGCCTCACCAGATCTTGATCTGGTCACTGGGCGATCTCGATGAGTAGGTTGAGGACTTCTTCCACCTCTCGCCAGCTCGACTTACTATCATCAGAACCGACACGTGTCAGCTCCGATACCAACCTCACGCCCTGTGTTGTCTTCCGTTCGGAGTGCTAAAGGAGCGGAAAGAAGGCCCAAAAAAATAGCAAGATGGGGTGTGCCAAGGATTTTAGGAAAATTGAGTGTGGGGACACAGACAGAACTGAAATCCCCCGTGTTGGTCCGATTAAGTAAGTCGGTCGTTTTCGCGCGTCGTGAAACGCACGCGCGGGCATGGCGTGAAAAAAGAAAAATCCAAATTCAATCTAAAAAGTATTGTCGAACTTCCCACCGCGCTGTGGATCTTCGTTTAGAGCGGAAGGGTTTCGGTACACTCCGCGT